GAGTTGCTCTAAAAAATCAACATTCAAGTAGATATAATTAAAAAAAAAGTCAAGTTCATTCACGTGAAATTACTAAAACTTTTGAGGAAAATAATTTGGTTAATTTAACAAATCATTTATTAATTTTTATATTTTTTTAATTTCATTTATTATTTTTAAATTCTTCAAATTCTGTCTATTATCTTTTATATTTAATTCAATTTCATCTAACCCATTATTTTTAACAAAAATTTTCTTATTCTATAAGAAAATATTTAATCCTCTAAATATATTTATTTTGATCTTTTAATCCTTAAATTTATATTCATTATAAAAATAGTTTTTATTTTTATTTTGCTAAATGTGTTTTTCATAAAACTATTTTACAATATATAATCTATCATGTAAAATTATTTAAATACCTTTGATTTTATTTTTGTATTATTTTTTCAAAAACATTTACATAATTTTATACAACGAACTATATACAATCTGCCCTATAAAATAAACTTACTCTTGAATTTCTCGTTATTGAAACTTCTTGTTATTGAAACTTCTTGTTATTGAAACTTCTTGTTCTAAACTTACTAAGTTTCTCTGTTTAAATTAAGTTAATTGCTCAAATTTATTACAAATTCAAACTAATCTATTTCTATAAAGTATTTCTTAAGTCATTATATTTTATTAAAATTATAATATCATTTTTTCAAAATTTAAAAGACTATTCTTTTTCATTAAATCTATCAAAAATTTTATACATCATACTATTTTGAAATATTCTCCAAAATTTATAGACCATTTAAAAAAAATTTCTAAACTAAAATAAAATTAAACTAATAGTTAATAAATTAATAATTGAATTAAACTTGAAAATAATACTAATTTGTAAGAAATTTTATGGTATGAGTCGTTCTAGGACAGCACACCTTTGTACAGTCTTGACAGGCAGGTGTCGGTCAAGCCAAGAAATAACGTGAACTGATTGCATACGGCAATGGACAATTATATCACTATTGGCATGTATCATTAAAGTAAGCAAGTTGCCATAGTTAACCACGTGGAATTAACTAACCATTGCCCTAATAGTAGTGCAAAATTTGAGAAAAATCATAACCTGATCATGGCCCACATTGATTAAACAAATGGATTAAATTGGCCCCATACGCTCATCAAGGGAGAAATTCTGGGAGCATTGAGCTAAATTTTAGTTGACTTTCCATATGGTAGTCCAACTGAATTGTGGGACCTGTAATCAAAGTCGCGTAAGACCAAAAGAAAAATGACAGTATTTGAGCCAACCTTGGAAAAAATGGACAGTTTCAGATCTTGGTTACCTTTTCTCTCGGTATTTCTAGGCTCTAGCGTTCTGAGTGGGCCAGAATCTCCGAATTTTGGTCCCCTGGTATATATCATCAGCCACAGATAGATCATAACTTGAGAATAAAATAAAAGAAAGAGAAGCCATCTCTTGAACAACATTTCATTTAAATACGTAGTCAAGGGTTTTATCTATCAAGTGGGCAGATTAATTCAATTCAAATGAACTTACAGACTCTTATTTACAGGAGAATCCAGCAAAGTTAAATAATGGGACATTAAAGAAGATAAAAGAAGAATTGGATAAGAGGCGGAAGATAAAAGGATCAAAGAAGCGATTATGATAAAGACGTGGAAATTAAAGAGCTTCAGCATTTTGATATTTTATAGAGTCCACTTTGACAGCCATCATGGGTAAACTTATATAAACAAGCATAAAGTGGAATGTAAACAAACCATTTGAGGCTGAAAAGCAATGAAAAAATTATTCCATAAATCAAATGGATAAAGCAAAAACATTAGTCATACATTTGAATACCAGAGCAGTTCACTGGTGAAACCAAGAAAGGCTTATATAAGCAACACAAATGTGGTAAATAAGGCACTCGAGCGCAGGCAATACAAGAGAATGGAGAGTCTTGGTCCTGTAAGTTACAACTTACAACGTATATCCAATTATCCAATTGGAGATACTTCTGAAATGGAATACAGCAAATAAAATGCTAGATTAGATTGACTTTATGCAGGCCCCATGGCTATAATAGCCAGTACCTACCTAGCATTTCCTTTACTCCAATACAAGATATATCAATAAGTAAAATATATACTAAACAATCCAGACATAGAAGCTGAGATCCTTTGCACTCTTCTTATTTCATCTACTTATAGATATGGCCCTTTTTATAGCTAAATTCATAATGTTTTTCATTTTGGGTCATCCAATGTTTATAGAACAAAATTATAATTCAATCAAGAAGGTAAGAGATTGAGTTCTAAAATAGATTCTACAATAAATTATAATTCAATCATTCCCAAGACCATCTATTCTTCCAGAAGTAGCTATTGTCTTTCAAAACTACTCGATCAACTAGCAGAGATTGTTAGCTATTATGATATATTTCTTTTATTGTCATAATGCCCTCAGACAGACTAGTACATTACTACATTTAAGTACTGATATAGAACAACTGAGCAAACAAGCAAAAAAATTGAAAACATAAAAAGATGGAGGAATAGAAGGAACACCTTGATGGAAATTGTTTGGCAGTTGGTTCAGTGAACAATAGAAAATTAATTGAGACAGTTGAAAATTGAAAATGGAAAATTTTCTTCACTATCCTAAGTGCTTCTCATAAACATGATAAATCCCATCCCTTACTGTAAAGTAAGAATAGTCATTGGGAAGCAAAAGATGTTACCTGAGATGAAAATCTGGTCTCCACACAATAATGGAGACATTCTGCAGGTCAATACTCAGAGAAAAAGAAATACCCTTTTCAAAGCTCAATCAACAATACCAAATCATACGCGAATGGAACCATCCAGGGAATCCATCTCCAACATTCTGAAGTAAGTGACTGAAAGAAAAGCATGATGGGTGTTAACTTACAAATTCAATCATCCTAAATCTGTGTAAGTGACAAAAATTCAGGCAAAGGAAAATTGTATTGAAAATAATAAATTCAATAAAACATATTTGCCTACAATTAATATAACATATAATTCCATATTGAGGAACAAATGCCACAGAGATAAATGCACAGGCAGAACATGCAGATAAATTCCACAAAACCTGAATGGATATTAATTACCACACAACTCCAAAAGAAACATAGGCAATCACCCTAAATAACTTTGTGGAGTCCAACATACGAACTACAAATGTTTACTGTAGCAGATAAATAGTTGCATCATAGAGCAAGTTCAAAGCATTAAAATGAGGCCATTGAGAATGAAGCTGGAGACACAAGACCTTAAAAATTGCAAAACAAATTTGACAAGCCTGAATAAATTCCCCAACATGCATGTCAACCAAGATAGAACCAAAAAGGTAGAGAATGAAATTACAGAATTGTGAAAATAAAACAATTGGGGAACATCAAATTTATGAATGTTTCCAAGAAATTATACCACCGATAGATATTTTTGAGGAAGAATCAATAAATGAACTTCAATGATACATAGAATACAAATGTGTAGGCATTGTGTCTGTGTGCACCATGAATTACAAGTTCGTGGAATTTCAATCCCATGAGGCAATTACAAGTGGGATGGAATGATATAAGAAGAGATTATCCTGATCCACCCAAACTGCTGAGATGTGGTCACTTGTTATGTCCAGGTTGCATGTGAGTGCATGTGGCAAGCATTTTCTGCCTCCTTCCAAGATTTACTCAACTCCCAATCAATAAGGTTTATTCTGTTTGTTGTCTCTCTTAAGCTGAACCTTCAGTTTCTTACCACCTAATTGGAATCCATTCATCATACTTATGGCGGTTTGAGCAGCCGTGGGAGAGTCATAACTTACAAAACCTACAAACAGAAGCATATTTAGACAAGAACCAGTTAATAATCTGGTCAATTTTCAAAGGTAGATGGAATATGCTTACCAAAACATTTGCTGACACCTGTTGCCTTGTCGACAAAAACCTTCGCACTTAAGACCCTACCAAATGATTGAAAAGCATTGGCCAATTCTTGATCCCCAAATTCTTGAGGTATGTGATATATGAATAGGTTTGCACCTAGTGGACCTAAGTCAGAATACAAAATATAATAATAAACAGGATACCATGGCCAAGACTCTAGTTTTGAAAATGCTAACCAACAAAATAAATACATAGATGGCAAACCTTCAACCTGACTCCCCGAAATTGAACCAGCACTTGGAGACACTGAAGAACTACTATTTGCATTTGGTGGTGCCACTGAACCTGGGGAACTCAATGGCCGATGACCCATCATCCCTCCAGGATATGTCATGGGATACTGAAGGCCTGGCACGGCAGGATAAGCAGAGCCTACGTAACTTGCAGGAGGCATAGCATAACTTCTAGGTCCCATATTAGCAGCAAGGTCATGTGTAATCCCACGCAATGCACTTCCTTGGTTTAGTTGAGGGATCATATTATGAAATGCATGCTGATTCTGCAGTGGTGGCAAGCGGTATTGCATAAGTCCATAACTCCCTGGAGCCTACAAAGTAAAACAAAAATGAGCTGATCATTGAAGTCCAAACCCCATCATAATGAAACAAGAAATAATGCTAGAGTGAAACAATTGGGGAATTTACCATTAATTTGTTTTAAGATACACAAGAAAGGGCATAATGATTAGTTATAATATATTTTTTCTATGCATCATTAAAATTTGAATGAATTCCAGACAAAAGAAGAATAACTGAACAAGAAAACTTACTTGATATCCATATCCATTATATGAGGGAACGTAACCCATAGGCAAGGCTCCAAATAATGAGTGGTGTTGTGAATCACTGTTAGGCATATTAGATGCTTGGGATTGCACTTTTTGTGCCCTGCGAGCTTGTCTTTCTTTTTCTGTGTCTGCCCATTTGACAACCAAAGGAATGCTTGATCCCTAACAGCAAAAGATAATGGTCAGAAGACAGCACCAAGGGTTTAATCATGAATACGCATATGCCAAAATTCATTTCAATGCAAGTATTTGGCATGACAAGAGAATAAGAAAGACTAAAAGTACTGACAGTCCAGATCTAACAAAATGTCTTGTGCAGCTTGCATAACGAGAGATTCATAGCAAGCTGGAAAAGTTGTGTCATGTAGAATAATTTAAACTCATATATTAGAAGCTTCAGTGCTTTAATCCCTTGCAAACTAACAACATGAGATTTTTTTTATTTAAAAAAAAAAAAAAAAACCGAATATCTCAGTTCCTTTTTATCTCATGTAACATTAATGTCAAAGGACATAATTGAACCTGTAGATACATTGATGAATTCATCAAGAAACTGTATAATTTGCAACCCATCAACAACTATTTCAGGAGACAGTGGATAAAATGGGAAAAGATTCTCAGAACTCTTAAATAGTGGACAGATTTCAACAATCCCAAACAAATATATTAAAACAAACCTCCATCTTGTGCTTTCCATTGATGGCCTCCAAGGCAGCAAGAGCTTGTTCTTTAGTCTCATACTTCAAAAAAGCACAGCCTGCCAATAAAAATAAATAGAGCTATTGATCAAATTTTTCAAAGTGGCTTATTTAGATTCCAGCTGTTCATTTGTAAGGATCAGATACCTTTGCTTGTTTGCTGAGAACCTCTTAGAATCTGTAGCTCCTTTATAGTTCCATATGTAGAGAATAAAGTGTGAACTTCAGCTTCAGAGATATTCTTTGGCAGCATACCAACAAATAGTTTGTGTTCTAGATTGCACAGCACCAGTAAAAGTTAATTGCATATATTTATAGCACTCAGTAAAAGAAGAATTTTTCAATAATGTGTAAGAAGACAGGCTACTGCAACTCACTTGGAGCAGAAGAGAAAAACAATTAATTTAATAAAGTTATGTAGTACCTAATCTTTCTAACTCGCCATCTGCATACTTTACTTGCAATGGACTCGATGCCTGAAAAATGAAAATAACAGAATGATCCATCAAATCAGAGATATAGCCGTACAGTACGCCATAACATGTTATAGAGACCACAAATCTGTGAAAGCATACAGGGATGATTGCAACATCTAAGAACTAGGCCCATAAATATTTCTTGATACTTTCCATTAGAAGTTGAAAAAAATTTAAGGACCAAATTATTAGTCAATTCCAGCTATAAGCATATTCCAAGTCTCAACCCACCACATCATAACATGTGGTGATCAATCACATTAAAGATGGTACGTTACACAGAAAAAATAATATGAATATGATATGCAACCATAGCTTCTTTAAGTTTCCAAAGCTTTCTTTAACTGACAAAACCTAGGAGAAATGCAATTTTATAAGGTTACAGAGTGAGAAAGATTCAATTTGGATCCTTCCCTGAGCAAACCATTCTGCCATCAGGCCCATCACCCCTAACCCTCAAGACACCAAAATGCTATATTGAGGTCCATATATCTTAAATGCTGGCCCAAGAGGCACACTCACTTCATGATGCATAGTCAATAACCGCATTTCATTAATGCAAGCTACTGGAGATTAGTCATGTGAAGTGATTAAGAACTTGCTAAGAGTTCATCAATAACAAATGCCATAAATACGTTTACTCTATATCTGACTTCTGAGAACCAACTAATCATCATCTTGCACAAATAAGCAGTTAACAGCCTATCATACCTGGTCAAATCTACACAAAATTCATGAATGGAAATAACAACCACATTACCCAATAATGCAGAAGAAACAACTCACTAGCTCAAGTATTTTTTTATTACAGTTCACCATTAATATAAAGCTGACAAGATTCACCATTCCTTACTGGACTAACATGTGGAACAAGCTACGTCCAACTAGTAATTACTTATACCAAGATCCCAACCACCAATTTAACACAAATGAGGCAAGTTTTTAACAGCAGAAACTCACAATGTGCAACAAAACGAACAACAAAATAAACATAAAATCAAAATTGAACTGACCCCTTGCAGCGTCTTCTTATTATGACAGGCATTGACCGCTTTATCCGCCTCCTGCCTCGACGGACATATCACAAAGCAACAACCTTCACCAACAATATCAAACAAAAACACCTCAAAATTAGGGTTCAACACAGCACAGACTCGCTCAAACACCTCAAATCTCACCCGCAAACGAACCAAATCAACCAAATCACGACAAACAAAAAAAAACAACAACAAGAACAAGCTTGAACAAACTGAATGCTAGAGATTCAAAAGTGAGAAGCAAGCAAACCTCTAGAGGCACGAGTGTTCTTATCCTTGATTATGTTGACCTCGTCCACTAAGGCGAACTCCTTGAACATTGCGAGGAGTTGAGGTTCGGTCATGTTCTTGGGCACTTGACCTACAAAGAGCTTGACGCTCTCCTCGCTCTTCCTCTCCTTTTTATTACTACCTCCTTCCGCCATTAATGGCTCGCAGTACGCTCCTCCTGTACACTACTTTCTCTCTCTACTGTACCTGATTTTCCTGGTTTTTTTTTTTTTCTCTCTCTCTAGATTCTCTCTGGCTGCTGCTGTGTTTTTTTTTTTCTTTGGGGGGAGGGAGTCGTCGGGGGTGGAAGAATCAGAAAGTTGGGGGGGTTTCCGGATGTCAAAGTTGGATCTTCGATGGATTTAATGTAATTAAATGGGGTAAAATGGGTCTACTGTTGAATTATATTTACGGAAACTGCCATCACAGCTGTGTTTGAGTGCCTCTGAGTAGTTCTGAGGTGGCACGAGGATGCTGTATGAAATGACCATATTGCCCTTTGTTGTCTTTCTCTTCATTTCCTTTTTTGGCCTGACATTTTTTTCTCTCTTTCATATTTCCAATTTTAGTGATCATATTTATGATGATCAAGGTACGTCCCTTTTTGTCTTCAATTGACTTTTTTTTTTTTCTAATGCAAATTGAAAAGGTAATTAATGAGTTTGGGATCTTATTCTTTTGTTGTAAACTTTATCGATAAAGTAGGTTAAATATGGATACATGTTAAAAAAATGTTACCTTATACATTTATTTGCATAAAAAAAGAGTATCTTATATTGATTTAACTTGCACTAATATATTTTTAAAAAAAAATTCTAATGAGTTTCACAAATTTTTTTCATTAACTCTACCTTTGTTTTATTTATTAGTGAATTACCTTTAAAAAATTTGTATTATCTCTACTTTAATTTTACTTTTTTCTCATTGACTCTACTTTTAAAATTAAATTTACAAGATTTGCATAGGAAAATCCGATTCACCAAATGAAATCACCCTTGCTGCATCAAAGTCCTTTTTTTTTTTTTTACATAAACAAAGGTATAGAAGTACTTAAAAGTGTATTTAATAGGAAGGGAAGAAAGTTTTTTCTTTTTTTCTTTTGAGAGGAAAGTTTAAAAATATTTTATTAGTTTTATATTTCAATAACATAATAAATCAAGAACAAAGTTGGTGTTTTTTTTTTCTAAACAATTTTCTTCTCATATTTTTAAATAAAAAAAAAATTTTCAGTTTGCTTAATGTTTGGGCAGCTTCGTAATTCAACACTGTTGAAGTCCTCAGCTGCTCCTACACCTGTAAATCCCGATGATGTTTCCTCGGGAAAAACACTCCGACGCTCAAGTCAGCAATAATTAATATTCTAAAGAGAGAGACTCTCCAGAAGTAATTGCAGAGAGAGAAGCGTAAGGATTAATTACCTTCATTAGAGGTAGTTGGGGGTATTTATAACCTCCAAGTGCTGACCTACATCTGTGCATGTAAGCATCCCATTGGCCCACGTGGTACTGGTCACGTGGGTGTGCTTACATTAGTGTTCCCTCAACTTGAGTTAGTGAGCGGTAGCCTAGGCCCGTTGCACACAACTCTGTTTGAATGTTTTGCCTATGTTGGGCCTTATTCCAACACTTAATAATATAAGACCTAATTAATATCTTTTCTTTCAATTTTTCTAATGCCAACTTTTTTCTAAATATGAGAAAATTAACAAATTTTACAAAATTTTAATAAACTTTATTACAAAATTTACAAGATTTTCATATAATACTTTTTATTTTTTCGATAAAATTAATCTAAGTAGTATAAAACCAAAACAAATCAAGTATTGACCGACTATAATCCACCTCCCCCCAAAGAGTGTAACAAAAGGACAGAAAAGTAAATTCAAGAAAAGGGTACTATTGTAGATTAGCGTGGAAACTGAGGAACAAAAGATAAATATGCCAGACTGTCCCGCCAACGCCACCCCGCCCGCCCTCAACGCCACCGTGAATAGTAAAATATATGAACTCCCCAGTAAAAAAATATGTACATTTTTACTTTTAGTCGGTTTTAACTAACCAAATTCACCGACATTTTGTAATTTGGTCAACTAATTGTCCCCTTTTTTCTCAATTTAACCTAGTTACACACACCTAGCTGGATCCAGTTTCGGGTGAAAAATGTTTCTGTCCCGGAGCGGAATGTTAAAGCATTTTAGGTAAATTTGTACTAATAACCTGATGATTTGATTAAAAAGAATTTGAATATTTTTAAATAATATTTTAAATTTAAGTTTTATAAATAAAAAAATAAATATTGAGAGAGTTTCTTTACTTATAAAATTTTATGTAATTAAACTTTAAATTAATTAAAATTTAAAGTGATTTTAAGATATTATGAAGTTAATTAAAAAAATTAGATGAGTTTGTGTAGAGTCGGTTTTAAATGTTGGCTATGTAAGAGTCCTATAACTAGAATGGAAAAATAGGTGAGAAAGAATCCAACCCTAATTGCAATAAGATTTTAAATTTAAATTTAAATTTTATGAATAGAAAAATAGATATGAATAGAGTGTTTTTTTTTTTTATAGAGTTTGACATAATTCGACTTTAAATTAATTAAAGTTTAAAGTGATTTTCAAAAATTATGAAATTAATTAAAAAAAAATTAAGTGAGTTTGTGTAGAGTCGATTTTGAATGTTGACTATATAAGAGTCCTGTAACTAGAATGGAAAAATACATGAGTAAGATTCAAACCCCAATTGTTAACTTGTCACTTGTGAGTATGTTTTTTTTTACTACATCTAATTAAGTTAGCTTTGTGGCATTGAGGAGTTTTAAATATATGTGAACAAATAGTACTTGGTAGCTCAGCTTAGTTGCTTATCAATTTCAGATTCTAATAACTTGGGCATTCGTGTTTGTATCTACCCTTCTTTGCAAATCTCCCCAAGTTAAAAAAAAAAAAAAAGAAAAAAAGAAAAAGAGACTTGTATTATTGAAGTGAGGTAATAGACATTGACTTGGTACGTATACATTTCTGTGCTACAATCATGATATGGAACACTAACTTAAGTGCTTGTGGAATTGAATTGTATTTCTTGGTGTCAATATTTAGGGAAACTTAGTTTTCTTTTTTTTTTTTTTAAACACACTTGATTGATGTAGTTATGCATCTTTAAAATTGTTTAGAGTACGATTATTATGAAGATACTTGTACCTGTTAACAGTTTTAACAAGATTCAAACCCCAATTACAAACTCTTCAAGTGCGGTTATGTTTTTTTTTTTTTTAATACGTCAAAGTTAGTTTCCTGGTATTGAGTAGTACTTTTTAATATATATGTAAGCTAAATTGCTTGGTTTAGTGACCTCTAAATTTTAGATTCTAACTTAGGCGTTTCTACATGTTGTATTTATATTTCTCATAAATCTCTCATATTAATAACATACGTAAAACTTAAAATTTATTTATATATAAATTTTATATATTATATTTATATAAAATATTAACTATTTATC